GTCCAGGCAGGGCTGGGTGGGAGGGAGCCACAGTCACGAGACCCGGGGAGAGAGCAGGGGTGGCTGTGGTGGGCAGGAGTCCGACCCGCCTGACCTGCTCGCACTTCCAGGGAGCGGCGGCGAGAACCACTGGCCTTCCTTAAGTGTCTGCCTGTCCCTGTCACCATGGCGCCCCAGCTCCGCCCGTGAGGCCGCGGGCCCCGCACTCACCCGTAGCCCATGTCCTGGCACGCTGCCTTCCCGTAGCTCTCACTCCAGCCATCCCGGCACACGGGGTACCAGGACTTCCTCTGGGGTGAGTACACCTGAAGGATGAAGTTAGGTCCGTAGAGACGAACTGCATGGAGAGAGACGGCCCGCGAGTTTCAGACAATTGTCTCAACTCCCTCGCGAGCCCCACCTTCCCCCGGGACACAGGGGCTGGGAGGTGGCCAGTTCCCCCTCCCCAGGGTGCTGCCCACACACGAGGGAGGCCGAAACCTCCTCTCTCCCTGCTAAAAAGTGCCCTTTACCCAAAAGAATAGAAAACAGAGACTCAGACAAAACCCTGTACACAGACGGTCCCTGGCAGCACTATTCACAGCAGCCAAAAGGTGGGACCCCCAAGTGTCTCCGCCAGCGGGTGAATGCCCAACATGTGGCCCATCCACGCAGCGCAGTACCACGGGGCCGCAAGACAAGCGAGGCGCCCACGCACGAGGCAACATCCAAGAGCCCTGAGGACGCCGCTGAGCGACAGGGGTCTGGCTCCGCTTCTACAAAATGCCCAGAGTAGGACGTCCGCAGAGACTGGGAGGCGATTACTGGTTGCCTACGGCTTAGGGGGCGGGAGGAGGGATAAGCGGGCGCCGGCTCAGGGTTTCCTTCTGAAGTGACTTCTAGAACTGACTAGAAGAGGCGATGGGGGACTTATCTGTGAATTAAGATTAACTAAAGAACTTACACGCATATATGCATAACCCATGGACACAAACAGCAGTGCCCTGAAGGCGTGGGAGGGGCAGGAGTGGACTGGAGGGGGCCAGGGGCACATCTGTAATACTTTCAACAATAAAGATACATTAAAAAAATAAAATAAAACACAAGTCAACAATAACACATAAGCTGGGAGAGGGATGTGAGATTAAATGTTCTAAAGTTTCTTGAATTTATCAAGAAAAATGCAGGTAGGTCGATTATATTTAGTTTAGATAAATCAAGGGTGCATATTGTAATTTTTAACATATACACTGAAAGTAAAGAAATGGAAAAATAATATATAACTTCAAAAAGCATATGACAATAAAGTGAAAAAAGTGCTACGTCAATGCAAGAGAAGGCAGAAAGAGGGAACACAAAACATGGGACAAGAAAGCACATTAACAATAAGAAACCCCACTGAGCTGCACACTTTAAAAGGAAGAATGTTACGGTATGTGAATTATCTCTCAATGACACTACTTTGAAGAAACACTTGAGGAGGACAAAAGGTTTTTGAGGAACGCTCCTTGGGCAACCACTTTGCGCAAACCCAGGACCCGGGCAGAACGCCCAGGGATGTGCCCAGTTCCTGGTGTACGGCTCTGCCTCTAAATTCACCCGTGTTTTGCCAAAACCACAGTTCTTTTGTTTAAAGAGATAAAAACCATCGAAATCCAGTGTGAGCCCCTCCCAGTTCCAGTCTTTTCTCTCTCTCTCCCTAGAGACCGCAACTCGGAACTCCGGGCCGTCTCGTGTGGGAGCGAAGTCAAGCGGGGAC